GCCCCCCCCCCCCCACAGGACTTTGGAGGCCGAGTAGGATGCTGAGTGTTTTTCCTCCGACCTGCTCTCCATGACCTGAGAGCGCCCAGCGGGAGGAAGGAAGCATCACCGTGACGACCGCAGAGGACGAGGAGGGAAGGAAGCGAGGAGGGAAGGAAGGAAGCAAGGAAGCGAGGAGGGAAGGACCTTTTTCCCGTGGTTACCGCCTGCTGTCCCAAGATGGCGGCGACTGAGGCCAGCGCGGCGCCGGTGGTCCAGGAGGACGGGAAAACGGACGCCGGCGAGCCGAACACAGAGACCGTTAGCAACGACACGGCGCCGGACAAAGATGGCGGCGCGGCGAGCGGCGAAACGGCGCCCGATGGCGGCGAGGCGGCGCCCGATGGCGGCGAAACGGCGCCCGATGGCGGCGAGACGGCGCCCGATGGCGGCGAGGAGGCGGCGGCGCCCGCCCAGAGCTCGGAGAACGCCGCCGAGCCCAAAACCTCGTTCCTGGACTCCTTCCTGAACAAGAGCGGCCTGGGGAAGGTGATGGGGGGCCGCAAGAAGAAGGCCGAGGACGGCGAGGGCGCCGGCGGCGAGGAGGAGGCGGCGGCGGCGGGCGCCGTTGCCGAGGGCGACGCGGCGCCGGCGCCGGCGGCAACGGAGGACGGCGACAAGGACGAGGACAAGAAGAAGCCGGCGGAAGGGAAGTCCACCAGCGTCCGGGATCTCATCCGGAAACCCGTGTCCCGGATCTTCTCCCACCGCGGCGCCGAGAAGAAAGATGGCGGCGAGAAGAAAGATGGCGGCGAGAAGAAAGATGGCGGCGGGGTCGTGGTCCGGTCCCGGTCCCTGGACCGCCTGGAGGACCCCGAGGCGCTAAACGCCCCGATGGAGGAGGAGGCGGTGGATCAGAAGGGCGCCGAAACCTCAACGGGCGCCGCCAAACACATGAGGCGCTGGCACTCCTTCAAGAAGCTAATGGCCCAGAAGACGCACCGGAAAGAGGCGGCCGAGGTTGCCGGCGGCAACGAGGGCGGCGATGGCGGCGATGGCGGCGATGGCGGCGAGGGCGGCGGCGGCGATTCGTCCACGCTGGACTCGAAGGAGTCGGGCCAGAAGAGGTGGAAGCTGAAGCGATCCTGGACCTTCCAGGGCCTGAAGAGGGACCCGTCCGTGTCCGGGATTAGCAGCAAGCTAGCAGCTAAGGGCGCCGAACGGGATGGCGAGGAAACGGCGGGCGGCGCCGAGGATGGCGAGGAAGCTAAAGCGGAAGATGATCCGCCAACGGTGGAGGACGGCGAGGAGAAGGATAGGGTGGATGGCGAGGAAAAGGCGGAGGCCACAGAGGAGGAGAAAGCGGCGGCGGCGGCCGGCGGGGGGACGGTGACGCATCACGCTAACGAGATCTGGACCTCGTTCAAGAAGCGCGTCATCCCCAAGAGCAAACGCGCTAACGCCGAGAGCGCCGCCGCTAACGCCGGGGAGGAGGACGCCGCCGCCAATGCAACAGCGGCCGCCACAGGTAAGCCCCGCCCCCAACACCACCGGGAGGTAAACCGAGGCCTCTCGGTTTACCGCAAACCTGCTGTGTTTGGGCCTGCTAGCAGCTAAAGGCTAATGAGTGCTTGTTTTGCTACGGTGAAGTTCTAACTACTAGTTGGTTGAAGTTAAAGGCTAGCAGCTAATGACTACTTGTTTTGGTATGGAAGAAGTCCAAACTACTAGTTGGTTGAAGTTAAAGGCTAGCAGCTAAAGGCTAGCGGCTAACGAGGGCTTGTTTTGCTATGGAAAATTTCAAACTACTAGTTGGTTGAAGTTAAACGCTAGCAGTTAAAAGCTAGCAGCTAATGACTACTTGTTTTGGTATGGAAGAAGTTCAAACTACTAGTTGGTTGAAGTTAAAGGCTATAAGCTAAAGGCTATCTGCTAATGAGTGCTTGTTTTGCTACGGAGAAGGTCAATATACTAGCTGATTAGGGTTAAAGGCTAGGAGCTAAAGGCTAGCAGCTAATGTGTGCTCGTTTTGCTACGGAAGAAGTTCAAACTACTAGTTGGTTGAAGTTAAAGGCTAGAGGCTGAAGATTAACATATAAAGGCTAGCAGCTAAAGGTTAACATCGAAAGGCTATTGAATGCTTGTTTTGCTACGGAGAAGTTCAAACTACTAGTTGGTTCAAGTTAAAGGCTATCAGTTAAAGTGTAGAAGCTAAAGGCTATTTATTTTGGTATGGAAGAAGTTTAAACTACTAGTTGGTTGAGGTTAAAGGCTAGCAGCTCATGACTGCTCATTTTCCTTGGGGAGAATCCAAACTACTAGTTGGTTGAAGTTAAAGGCTAGCAGATAAAGACTAGCAGCTAATGAGTGTGTGTTTTGCTATGGAAAAGTTCAAACTACTAGTTGGTTGAAGTTAAACGCTAGTAGCTAAAAGCTAGCGGCTAATGACTACTTGTTTTGGTATGGAAGAAGTTCAAACTACTAGCTGGTTGAAGTTAAAGGCTAGAGGCTAAATGCTATCAGCTAATGAGTGCTTGTTTTGTTACGGAGAAGTTCTAACTACTAGTTGGTTAAAGGTAAAGGTTAGCGGCTAAAGGGTAGCAGCAAAAGGCTATCAGCTAATGACTACTTGTTTTGGTATGGAAGAAGTTCTAACTACTAGCTGGTTGAAGTTAAATTCTTGTAGCTAAAAGTTAGCATCTAAAGGCTAGCAGCTAAAGGCTTGCAGCTAAAGGCTATTGAGTGCTCGTTTTGCTACGGAAAAGTTCAAACTACTAGTTGGCTGAAGTTAAAGGCTAGTACCTAACGGCTAGCAGCTAAAGGCTAGCAACTAATGATTGCTTGTTTTGCTTGGGGAGAAGTCCAAACTAATTGTTGGTTGAAGTTAAAGACTAGCAGCTTGTTGAAGTTAAATGCTAGTAGCTAAAGGTTAACATCTAAAGGATAGCAGCTAAGGTATACCAGCTAATGACTACTTTTTTGGCATGGAAGAAGTTAAAACTACTAGTCGGTTGTAGTCAAAGGCTAGCAGCTAATGCCTGTTCATTTTGCTGGGAGAGAAGCCCAAACTACTAGTCGGTTGAAGTTAAAGGCTAACAGCTAAAGGCTAGAAGCTCATCATGACTGCTCGTTTTGCTTGGAGAGAAGCCCAAACTACTAGCGGTTGAAGTTAAAGGCTAGCAGCTAAAGGCTAGCAGCTAAAAACTAGCTGCTAATGACTATTTGTTTTGGTATTGAAGAAGTCCAAACTTATAGTTGGTTTAAGTTAAATGCTTGTAGCTAAAGGCTAGCAACTAATGACTTC